CTGCCAGAAGTAGTGCAAATTGAGTCCACTTTAACTGCCCTGGCTCAGTGCTAGGGAATCATGGGAACTAGTTTATTGTGGCACCAGAGCTCTCTGACAGAGAAGGCTCAATGTCTCAGAAAAAAATACAATTCCTATGGTTCCCTAGCACTGAGCCAGGGCAGTTAAGGTGGACTCAATTTGCACTATTTCTAGCAGTCTGCAAAGTCCCATAGAATCATAGAGTTGGAAGAGACCACAAAGGCCATCCAGTCCAACCCACTGCCATGCAGGAACTCAAAATCAAATCCAAGCCAAGCCAAGCCATTCTTAGATATATCAGTGAAGTAGTTCACTCTCCATCTCCCATCTTGGAAAGGAAATCATGGTAACTGTAGTTTTTCCTGAGACATTGAGCCTTCTCTGTCAGAGAGCTCTGGTGCTGCAATAAACTACAGTTCCCATGATTCCCTAGCACTGAGTCAGGACAGTTAAAGTGGTCTCAAGCTGGATTATTTCTGGCAGGCTGTTCAGGCCCTTAAAGTGTCTCATTAATTGGGCGTATTAATTGATATGTTTTTTTGAACCTCATTAATCCAGTTCTAATGATCACATAATTGAATAATCAATCTATTGCTTTCATTGCTCATAGTTAAAAGAATTAAAAGTTATTATTGCATAACTATCAAAGGAAGTGACATTTTGTATGTTAATTTAAATACACATAATCTTTGCATTTGTACCAATATAATTTTCTGGTGTCATTCATATACTTAGATATATCAGTGAAGTAGTTCACTCTCCATCTCCATCTTGGAAAGAAGCTTAATTGCCACATACTTTAGTGGATTAAACCATTTAAATCAGGTGTGGGCAAAGTGTATGTGTGCCTTCAAGTAATTTCTGGCTTATGGTGACCATAACGCAAACCTATCATAGATTTTTCTTGGCAAGATTTGTTTAGAGGAGGTTTGCCGTTGCCTTCCCTTGAGGCTGAGAGCATGTGACTTGCCCAAGATCACTCAATGGGTTTCATGGCCAAGTGGGGAATCAAACCCTGCTTTCCAGGGTCATATTCCAACACTCAACCCACTATGCCACACTGGCTCTTGGGGACATAGTACTTCCCTCCAAATCTTGTTAGATTGCATGTCTCAGCAACCCCATCCAGCATAGGCAATGGCAAAAAAATGCTGGGAGTGGCAATCAAACAAAATTGGAGCTTCCATGCTCTCCCAGCTTAATTATCATTCTAGGATGATGAAAAATTCTGGAAAACTCAAAACCTTGCACATTATTGCAGAATTATGGTTGATCCTAATAATTTTTTTTCTACTATTTCTACCAGTCTTTGCTGCTCTCTCTCTCTCTCTCTCTCTCTTTCTCTCTCATTCATCTTGATAGCTCTGTTTCTCAAAAGCAGGGGTAGGGAGTCACCTGGTAATTTTCATGGTCTCCTAAATGTTATCATAATCATAGATAAACATGGTATATAGGAGTGAACACTCAACATGATTTACATACCTTTAACGTAGATGATGAAGACATTGAAATAGTTTAAGATTGGATACTAAAGTTAGATTGTCCATGCCATCGTATTTCCCATTTTTATGTATAGTTGTAACAGCTAGACAGTGAAGAAAGCTGATAGGAAGAAAATATTCTGCTGGAGAAGAGATCTATGGATGTTGTGGAGTGCTAAAAAGACAAATAAATGGCCCCTAGACCAAATCAACCCTGAACTCTCCCTAGA